GTCAACGATTGTTAGCAATCGTCAAACATACAAATAAAACCACCAACAATCGTTAACGAGACGACAATTAAAAAAGAAAAATGGATCCTTCCTTTTTTATTTAAAAAGTGATCTTTTTCGTTTTTTCTTTGTCAGAAAAGTGAAATGGTTCCCGATCTATGAATATTTCTAAAATTTTCTTCTTAACAGTTTTCCTCCAAGGCTTTTGCAATATATTTCTTAAATCTTTAATCAAAACTTTTAATGGAAATTTCAAAATCGAACCAAGAAGTGATTATATGGAGAGGATTGAGGGAGGGAGAGGCGGATACAGTAATTTAATAATAGGGGCAATTCATAATATTCTCTTCATTTTTCGTAGCTCCTCCCAATGCTTGAGGGGGCACAATTTTCCAGGGGTGAGCGATTGCTCCAAGGGTTTTAAATATAAATTGTAATTTACGTTTTAAGAAATAATCTTTTGTTTTTAGGCGGAGAAAACTTTTAATCCGTTAGGATGATTAAAATGACCTTGAATTAAAATAAAATGCTTGGCAACATTTTGGTTTTGTTTTCTGCTCTTAGAATAACCTGAAGCAATTACCCTTCAACAGTTTAATCTGAACCCTGGTCTAGTGCAGAGGGAAGAATCTGACAGAGGGTTCAATCAAACCTTGGTCAGGTGATCTTGCATTTAATATCAGAGGGTTGGAGGGCAGAGGTGGGTGGGTAGTGCTCACCCAGCTCTCCCATGGGGTTGGAAGGTCCGTAACCACCTCTTCCTCCCAAAGATTTAAAGGAAAACTGAATGGTCAAGATTTCTTTCTCAGAAATATTCGAATTTCTTTTATTTTTATTCGAATTTTTGTTGTTGGATGAATGTATTTTGAAATGATCAAAATGTGATTGAATTTTCATTTTTTGTTTCTTACTAGCCGGGCATTCTGAGCTTTAGTTTCTCTTATTTGTGATGTCGTCTTCATCGGTTTAGTTGTCATAGCAGATCTTTGCAAAATCCAGATTGCAATTTGTTCAAAGTTCTTTAAATTCGATTGTGTTTCTATCATAGATTTTTTATATACAGTGATAACCAGAAAACTCTGGAATAGTAAGACGACTTTGAGAATCAAGTTTTAACTTTAAAAAGTTTAATAGCCATTAAAAACAGCAATTGTGCAGTGTAAACAACCCCATTTCACAAATTTCATAGGTGTTTAGTAAAACTATTTGCCTTTTAACACGATCAAATAAAGTATTGCTATAATGTCGTCTTCTTATTCCATTGTTTTCTGGTTGCCACTGTATTAAAATCGTAAATACTGTGAAAGGCGCATTTCCAATAAGGTATGAGATTTTAGACTTTTGGTTTTATAAATCAGAGTTACACGGGAATATATTTCTTATTGCAGTTTACTTTTAGTTCTTTTAAAATCTCAATATTAAGAAATTAGTTAATCTTGTCTGTCTGTTTGTATCTAATAAATGTCTAAAATCTCTAAAAAAAGTCCAATTTTTTTGTGGTAACTAACACCGTGAAACAAAGAAAAAAAAAGATAATTTGTGTTTAAATTGTAGTTTTAGCACAATTATTGATTAATACACACAACGGCCAACGTCCAAGGAATATAATGTAGATTTAAAAAGATATAATTTTATAAAAAAAAACGTTTGCATCAGTCTTGAATGTAATAAATATAACGTCTATAACGTAAATACCAGCTGGAGAACCCGGCTTTGCCTATGTTAATATTTTTAGTTATTACTCATAGTTACTTCCGCCGTTTACCCGGGCTTCATATTAAATCATGATTTTAGCTGAAGGGTCCGGTGTTGCACGTGGAATTTCAAATATTTAGCCTAAATGTTACCCCCAGGGTACCCACAGATTAGGTCACGCCGTTGCTCATTTAGCCAGCTATATTTGATACATTTATATAATCGTACCAACTTGTCTAGTGTACCCGGGCATGATACCAGTCTAGTGTTTACTCGTACCAACTTGTCTAGTGTACCCGGGCATGATACCAGTCTAGTGTTTACTCGTACCAACTTGTCTAGTGTACCCGGGCTTGCTTTCTGCAACTTAACAGTAAGCATGAAATATATAGACCAGGAACCGTCATATCTGGTCTGGTTCCTGGTCTATATATTTATTGACAGTAAGCAATCCAGTCCACAGTGCAGAGGGATGCAAACTCTTAAGCAAAAATCTATGAGAAATTTTCCAATTTCTTCTTTAATAATCAGGAATAATCGACATCTGGTATTTTCATGAAGAATGAAATAACTACAATTAAGATAATTAAGCACAATTAATGACGCCAATGTTAGATCTTTTATTTATTACTACAGTAAAAAATCTGCTTTCTTGATTTCTGCCGCCTGTGCCTTGAAGCAAAAAAGATGAAAAATTTATGTCAACACCATTTTCTTAAACTATACGTGAAAATGATGAAGTTATTAACTAGTAAAATTGGCATTTAACTAAAATATACGCGTAAATGTCTATAGGGCAAAACAGGTTCATCGGTTCTTGACCTTTAAAATTATTTGCGGAATTTATTCGTCAACCGACTTTTACATGTATGGATCTTGAAACTATAATTACAAAATTCTCCCATGTCCTGCCGCTTTCAAATGTGGTCTGCCTTTTTTGTGCTGTCAATATTACCGGCGGGCGTCATTAAGAATTTCTCCGTATCCATATCTTCTATCCAAAAACTTTAAAACGCCTGAACCGATCGGGCCCATATTTTATGAATGATCAAAATTTCAAGAATTTGCCTCCAACAAAATTTGATTTTAATCAAATTTCCAAAAATTTTGAAAATCCACGAAATTTTTTTATGAAATGAACGAAATTTTTTATGAAATCCGCGAATTTTTTTGTGTTGTTCTACAATGTACACAAGAGAACGTGTTCACAATTAAAATAGAAGATGGGCGTGAAGCGCCATAAAAGCCTAGTATATATATATACTAGGGTGGGTGTCTGGGTGTTTGTCTGTTTGTTTGTATCCAATAAACGTCAAAACTGCTGAACCGATCGGGTCCAAACTTTTTGTGGGACCTCAAATGACCCCAAGGAAGGTTTATGGATGATTAAAATCTCAAATTATATTTTCATTAAATTTTGAAAATCGACGAAGTTTTTTTCATAAAATCTGCAAACTTTTTGTTTGTTTTTGTTTTACAATGTTTACTAATAGAAAATATTAACAATTGAAATAGAAGATGGGCGCGAAGCAAATTGCAAAACTCTTTAGTATTTTCTTATTTACAGAAATAGTAGAGACAACCATCGTTTGTGTGCTATTTATCGGTTATCACTGTATGAATTGAGATAATTGAAACCTTGTGATAAAAATGTTACAGCTAATGATAAATGATGCAAAGAAATCACATCAAAAATATAAACCAGAAATGCAAGAAAACATTCCTCAAATAAAAACACTCTATTTCTGAAGTTTCGTTTTCAGTGGATAACCCTGTAAATAAATTCTAAAATATCAAGTTACAATTTCCTTGTAAAAAATCATAAAAGAAATAAGTCAGCTTAGTAAATTCACGTAGTTGTACAGTGTACATCAGGATTAAGATTAAGTTATGGAATTTGAACAAGGAATATAAACACCAGGAAGTTACAAAAAAACTTCATATCTGGCACGAGCGCTGATCACATAAATTTACCGAAAAGGGAATGCTTCATTTGGCTTACCGTCCCGTTTTGCCTTAAATAGTCTGTCCGTGTAACGTACTGCTTGCTCTAGCTCCTTGAAAGTCGGCCCTTTACTTAAAATGAACCGGAGGTTACAGCGTGATATAAAGTTTTTGAAGCATTTGACTGAGTACAGAATATCAGTACATATATCGCATGGTCGGTACATGTACTGGAACGGTGAGAACATGTGCTAGAACTGCGGCTGATGTACAATTGCATGGTGGGTAAATGTTCTGGCATCTGGATACAAGTACAGGCACTGTGGGTACATGTACTGCCAAAATGGGTACATATTCTGACACTTTGGGTACACGTACTGGCACAATGGAAACATGTTATACTGGCATGGTGGGCGAATTTACTGGCATGGTGGGCGAATTTACTGGCATGGTGGGTACATGTACTGGCAGGTTCATCCTTACACATATGTTTATGAGAGCCATCTTGCCAATGATGAAATTTATGCACAATCAGGGTTTTAATTCTTTTTTTACTAAAGTTTATGCTTTTTTTGTGATGGTCTTTATATCTCGTATCCATTACCGGAGACATATTTACAAAATTGATAATACTTCCTGTTGTTCATATTTTCCAAATTGATAATAATTCCTGTAAATCCTAATATTCATATTTTCCAAGTTGATAATAATTCCTGTAAATCCTGATATTCATATTTTCCAAGTTGATGATAATTCCTGTAAATCCTGATATTCATATTTTCCAAGTTGATAATAATTCCTGTAAATCCTGATATTCATATTTTCCAAGTTGATAATAATTCCTGTAAATCATGTTATTAATATTTTCCAAGTTGATAATAATTCCTGTAAATCCTGTTATTCATATTTTCCAAGTGGATAATAATTCCTGTAAATCCTGTTATTCATATTTTCCAAGTTGATAATAATTCCTGTAAATCCTGTTATTAATATTTTCCAAGTTGATAATAATTCCTGTAAATCCTGTTATACATATTTCCCATGTTGATGATAATGTTTATTATTCATATTTTTCAAATTGATGATACTTCCTGTTATTCATGTTTTCCAAGTTGATGATACTTCCTGTAATTCATATTTTCCATGTTGATGATACTGCCTACTATTCATATTTTCCACATTTATGATACTTCCTGATATTCAAATCGATGATGCTTCCCGCTTTTCATATTTCTTGAAGGGTTTATTTCAAGTTCAATCATGGGTAAATATGCTTTATTTACTCAATATTACAAATTATATTTGCTTAATCTTATCTTAATGGTAATAAAGTTTCTAAATAAAATGTTTTGAAAATATATATAACCCTGGGTTAGAGGGTTTGAATAGTTCAGTTTACTGTAATCAGTTACCGTGAATACAGGCGTACGCAAATATATTGCTTAACTCTCAGCTAATAGGAGTGAAAGGTATCTCTAAGCTAATAATAATAGTCAAACATGAATTATAATATTTACTATAAAATGAACACAATCAAAGACGATTTTACATTTTTTTTACCAAAATTAATTTTAGATCAATATTTTTGATGGTTTTGAGCAAGAAATATATAGACCAGGAACCACCACATCTCATGCGTCAAATCTGTGTACCGCAGTGGGAGGAGATCAAAACAAAGAATTCAGGGGCAACTCATCATTTTTGAGGGAAAATGGCCCAAGGGGTGGAATACAAATATATTGCTATTGTATTTTCCATATTGATCAGAAAGCCAAAAAGCATAAGTATTCGCTCTAACTTGATATTAACTTGTTTTTGTTAGACTGTAATATCACATCAGAGCTTAAGTCCTTTCCCTTCAACTTCTGTGGGGGCACTGGGTTTGTTTACATTCCTCCCACAGTGTACAGTACATAACATGCGTCTGAGTTGGACGTTCCTGTATATAGTTTCTTGGTTTTAAGAAAGGTCACTTTAATGGTTGATTGGATTTTAACAGGATATGGTCTGTATAATCCATATATGTTTAACCGTTCTATTCTGTCTAGTGTCTATAATATTACATATATGTTTTACAGTTATATTATGTCTAGTGTCCATAATATTACATATATGTTCTACAGTTATATTCTGTCTAGTGTCTATAATATTACATATATGTTTAACAGTTATATTCTGTCTAGTGTCTATATTTCAGATGTGTTTAACAGTTATATTCTGTCTAGTTTCTATAATATTACATATATGTTTAACAGTTATATTCTGTCTAGTGTCTATAATATTACATATATGTTTAAACCGTTCTATTCCGTCTAGTGTCTATAATATTACATATATGTTTTACAGTTATATTGTGTCTAGTGTCTATAATATTCCATATATGTTAAACAGTTATATTTTTTCTATTGTCTATATTCCATATATTTCCTAACAGTTTTATTCTTTCTAGTGTTTTTATTCCATATATGTTAAACAGTTATATTATGTCTAATGTCTATATTCCATATATCTCCTAACAGTTATATTCTGTCTAGTGTCTATAATATTACATATATGTTTTACAGTTATATTCTGTCTAGTGTTTATAATATTACATATATGTTTTACAGTTATATTATGTCTAGTGTCCATAATATTACATAAATGTTTAACATTTATATTCTGTCTAGTGTCTATAATATTATATATATGTTCAACAGTTATATTCTGTCTAGTGTCTATATTTCAGATATGTTTAACAGTTATATTCTGTCTAGTGTCTATAATATTACAAATATGTTCTACAGTTATATTATGTCTAGTGTCCATAATATTACATATATGTTTTACAGTTATATTATGTCTAGTGTCTATAATATTACATATATGTTTAACAGTTATATTGTGTCTAATGTCTACATTACATATATGTTAAACAGATATAATCTGTCTAGTGTCTAAATATACCATATATGTTAAACAGTTATACTATGTCTAATGTCTATATTCCATATGTTTCCTAACAGTTATATTCTGTCTAATGTCTAAACATACCATATATGTTAAACAGTTATATTATGTCTAATGTCTATATTCCATATATTTCCTAACAGTTATATGCTGTCTAGTGTCTTTATTTCATATTTGTTTAACAGTTATATTCTTTCTAGTGTCCATATTTCATATTTGTTTAACAGTTATATTCTGTCTTGTGTCTAAACATACCATATACGTTAAACAGTTATATTATGTCTAATGTCTATATTCCATATTTTTCCTGACAGTTATATTTTGTCTAGTGTAATATTTGTTTAACAGTTATATTCTTTCTAGTGTCTAAATATACCATTGTTGACAGATAACAGCAACACGCTAGACAAATCCGGATAATAGGCCGGTTAGGATTCTGATGGGGGTGTTTATTATCCCCAGACAATCCTTTCCCGATGGCCGAACAATACACACACAACAGAGTAACCCCGTCACAGAAATTCGATAACAAAATCTTTATTTCCTAAAAAAATAACATAGATTATAGATCATGGTTACTTGTACAATGTTATAATAAATCGAGATTCTGGGAATAAGACTTGACCCTACTCTGTTCACGGCTCTCTTTCTTGAAAACATCTGAAGTTATTTTTCCCAATTTCTCTGCTTCACCCATGCACAAGCTATCGACGGAAAAAACGACTTAAGAATTTTTAATATTTGTTCTTTGTGATGACATGTTTTAATATCGCTCCATGGGTTTGGACTGCTTTCTCCTTTCCTACCAGCTTTCTTCTACAGAGAAAGCTGAAGTTTTGAAAGGAGAAAGTATGTTTTTACTAAACACAGTCTGGGACTGAGATTACTAAAAACATCATGAAATATGTTCAGGTTCCAGTTTTTAGGATTCTTAACATATACAAAGGAATATTGTTTGTTTTATTAATGAATAGCAAATAAGGATATAGTTTTTTTTTATTTCAGAAAATGTGCTATGAATAGTTTTTACACTTTACACCTTTATCAGATAAAACAATTAGAAATTTCTAAGCGATATTTCTTAATTAATTGAAATAAGATGACGACAATTATGCCACAGTTTTCTGGTTATGTACTGGCATGAAATACGTTTAGACAATGACTTTAGAACTTTAGAACCAAAATAAAAAGAATTCCTATAAGACTAATTTTTTTCCTTATACTTTGGTTCTTAAACTTATACTTTGGTTCTAGAACTATAATTTGGTTCTAGAACTTATACTTTGGTTCTAGAACTATAATTTGGTTCTAGAACTTATAATTTGGTTCTTTAACTTATACTTTGGTTCTTAAACGTATTCTTTGGTTCCAGAACTTATACTTTGGTTCTAGAACTTATACCTTGGTTCTGAAACATATACTTGAGTAATAATTAAATCGTGTTATCACCACGGCTTTAAACTTTGCTTGTATTTGAACTATACATTAATAAATATTTATTTTAATCCAATCAAACATTGGAGTTTATGACAATTTATTAAGTTTAAAATAATTCCTTATCTTCGTAAAATGAATCCGGGTTTATATATCCAGCTTTAACCTTGGTCAACGCTAGAATGGAATTTGTCACCGTACGCACAGATGTTCAATCAATCTTACGTCATTATTGGACATATATTTTACCTTGGCACGCTTTTAACACCTACAGACTTTGCGTTGATATCATGAAATGGTGCTGAGCAGTTAACAAACAAAATATTTTTTCAATTGCCTCTTTAGGGCCTTTTTAAAATTTTCCATAATAAGAGCAAACAACCCTCTTTTTTCATTAGACCCTTAATTAACTGACCTAATTTTACATTAGTCCATTATAGTGCTGAAAATATCGATACATTTTTTTAAAAACTTTGTGAAAAAACGATATTTTTCTGATTAAAATAATGATTGAATGTCTAGAGTTTTCAATGAACCTTTTATCTCTTGTTACTCAGAATAAATAATGATTGTTTGAAGTTTTTTTTCTTAAAAATTTTGGTAAAAATGCATATTAAATTGATTTAATGAATAGCAAAGGTTAAAGATATGTGTAATATTTGTTTGCGTATAGATAATACTATTAAACGTACGAATCTGCATTAAATTCAGAATTGCCCAGCTTTTTTTAATATAAACCTCTTCTAGGCTACATAGTAGGCACATCATTTAGAGCAGAGACCAAATTGAATGAATTTGAGCTAGGTGGTTGAACCATCTTTGCCTGCTCAAATTCAAAATTAAAGATTCTTGAGGATTTGAATCGATGATCCGGGATTTGAACAAGGGGTAGGTAGTTTAGAGACCTATCCAATTATCTAAATTTGGTCACCGGACATTTTTTAATGACGGAACATTAACAAACTAACCTCGTTCCATAAACCCCCCCTGAACCATTCAGATTTTATTTAAATCTTTTCTAACTCTCCTGAAATCTCAAAATCTTGTCTTTTCCTCATCTTTTACACTCGTAAATTAGGATATTTTAGACCTTGATCAATTTGAAGGGCATGGCATGCTTTAAAGCATGCTTTTGTTCTTTAAAAAAATTGATAATTTTTAATAATGTTTACTCTACACTAAAGGATTCTGCTGCAGAAACTATAAAAGAGTTTGTTAAATAAAAAAGCACACGATATTTTCTATGTTATTTGGTAAAGGTTATGTCAATCGGACATGCTCCATGGAGGGTCACTTAAAATTACAAGACTGCATCTCAACCAAGGTTGTAATGCAAGGAAAGTTAATTGCAGTTGCGTATACTCGCGTACATATTGAACCCAGTTCTCTCTTGGCAGAATTTGTAAACAAGAATAGATGCATGCAGTGTTTGTTTAGTATCCGAGGAGGTTAACATCATTAAATTGTGATAATTTTGATAATTTTGATAATTCACATAATAGTTTCCTATGGCCAGAATATTTCATTGATTTTTTATGTGAAAGATGGATCCCATGTCAGGCTTCGACATCCGTCTTGTGTTTACATTACCGCCCATAGGCAGTATACTGCAGTACAAAAGATGCGTACACCTCAGAAATAACTTTCCTTGCACTACAACCTTGATCTCAACCATAAGTTTCTGACTCTCAGTGTATTGACCCTAACCCAGGAAGTATCCACTGTATCTACTCTACCCACTATAACAATACCGGTATTTAGGCAGGGATGTCTTGCGTTCTCAAATATCATTATGATTCATTTTATCATTTAGAAGGCTATTTCCCTCATTTTAGAAGTACCATAGAACATTAAAATTAAAATTAACGATTGATCTGTCTCTGTTTTTAATCGAGAAAGATGTTTAATTACTACATTTCTAAGATAACGGTTTAAGGATTCCGGCTGCTTTAAAAAAACGTTTAATATGTAATTTAAAAAAGGTTAAAAGTATCCCGTTGCTTTTAAGAAAAAGGTTTATTGGTTTAATTTGTATTTTAGATAAAGGTTTAAAGATTCCGGTTGCTTTTCTGTAAAAGTTCTGAAGCTTTAATTTGTATTTTAGATGAAACTGTTTAAAGATTCCAGTTGGATATAAGAAAAGAGTTTTAGGGTCTAATGTGTAATTTAGATAAAGGTTTAAATATTCCAGTTGGATATAAGAAAAGAGTTTTAGGGTCTAATGTGTAATTTAGATAAAGGTTTAAATATTCCAGTTGGATATAAGAAAAGAGTTTAGGGTCTAATGTGTAATTTAGATAAAACTGTTTAAAGATTCCAGTTGGATATAAGAAAAGAGTTTTAGGGTCTAATGTGTAATTTAGATAAAGGTTAAAAGTATCCCATTGCTTTTAAAAATAAGGTGTGAAGATTTAATTTGTATTTTGTATAAAACTGTTAAAGATTCCAGTTGGATATAAGAAAAGATTAGCAGGTTTTATTTGTATTTTAGATAAAGGTTTAAAGTTTCCAGTTGCTTCTGAGAAAAAGGTTTTAAGGTTTAATTTATAGTTTATGTAAAAAGGTTTAAAGATTTTTGCTGCTTCTAAGAAAAAGGTATAAAGGTTTAAATTGTAATTTAAATGAAGGTTTAAAGTTTTTAGTTGCTTCAAAGAAAAATATTTGAAGGTTTATTTTAGATAAAAATGTTTAAACGTTCTATGTTGTATTTCAGATACAAGTATTTGCTTTATTACGACGGATTAAAATATGATATATAATTACAATAAACGTTTAATGTTACATACTGCAAATGATAGTTTTTTAATGATCTGAAATAGATTGAAAAATTGGAATATTTGGGGCTGAAATAGAGGAATTTAAGTTAGTGGATTTATCAAATGTTTTGCGGAATTTTCCATGTCAAACATATTTTGCGTTTATGAAGGAAAACTTGAAATATATAAATTTAAAAACTTGTTTCTTGGTATGCCATTCAAAGTCATATTTGGTTCTGAGATTGATATTTAATAATTAAAAGTTCAATATATCATTATCTTAACCAATTAATATTTCATAAATTTTGAGAAATGATATAATTGTCTGAAAACCATGTTCAAATATTTTGAAATCCAAGCATTATCTGAAAATGTGCTCAGCATAATTTTATATGCAAAAAACTACATTTTGCGAAGATAAAAAAAGCTATCAATATATGTAAGAATAATGCCTAACTATATTTATTATAATTGGAATAATATCCGAGTGTAATGTAATTACTTATTTGAAATGATAAGTATTGTATTTCATAATAAAATCAATTTATATATTGATCAACATTTATCAAGATACAGATTTAACCACAAACGAAGAGACTTGAACGCCGACCTAAAATTCTCAAATATAACGATCTGAAGGTCGAAATTTGGTTTCTGCGTTGCTATAGCTTTAAAGGTATTCACTTAATCATTTGACAAAGAAAAACAGGTTTAGAATACCAAAGAGAATAGACTTAGTATATGCCGTACAGTCGTCTATGAAGTCTCATCCCTTGTTGGTAACCCTGTACAATTTAAATATTTAATTTTCTTTCTAAAAAGTTTTAAAATTACTTAATTATTGGACATATACAGACTAAGGATGTCTTTCTGTCGAACTTTCTTGATCCATTTTTTTTCGGCAGATTAGTGTTCTACAGTCTGATTTGATCTGTTCTTAGAACTCCTTCAAATTAGATGTATACCGTGCATAACAAGAAAGGGCAGAACTGAGTTCTATGAGAGCATACAAATGTCTATAATACTTGGCTGAGTACTGAGTAGATATTTAAAATAATACTAATAGTAAAAACACATTACGGTTTTCATGGGTGGACCTGTTTCAAAACATATAAAACTTTCCCTGTTTAGATTTGAGAAGAAATATTGGAAATTCGCATTCAGTCGTGTCTTAACTTGGGTTCACTATGCAAGGAGATATGGAGGTAATTCATCTTTAAAATATGTTAGTCACAGCTTTCAATTTTTTAGCGTGATAAATGCATGAAAATTGTGATTGGGAGGGGAGGTGGGGGGGGGGTTTCGGAGGCCATTGTTTTTTTACAATCTAGAAAAATATGATATTTTAAGGTATATAATTTTTACAATTTTGCCTTTCTAAATTACGAACAATTTTTATAAAAATAAATGAGAAATTATTCAATTTTGATTTGAGAAAATGTTCTTGAAAACATAATATTTAAAAATTTATGAAATGCTTCTAATCTTCAATCTTATGTAGTTTCCGATAATATATTTTGTTCTTTGATATAACACACAAAACTTTTTTGATTTCTTCTAATATAGTTTTGCGATTACAAATTTTGTTTATGATGTGTCTTAAAACTTTAAAATAGTTAAATTATATGATAGAATTTAATTAGTTGGCCGCCAGGTATCTCTGCTCTCGATGTTTCTGCATATCATTGCATGGTTCCACGTCAGAGAGACACCTAGCGGAGAAATTGAAATATCGACTATATACGAATGCGTCGAAAAATACTCAATGAAAATAGGTTGCAATATCTGAATAATTTCTTTGGAATTAAATTGATCCGAGTCGTATATTGCAACTTTCTGAATTTGTTTGAACGCTACGTTCTTCAGTATGAGTCGTTCTTAACAATTTTCTCATTCTAGACGCAACAGATAGAAGTAAGATTAGTAGCAATCACCATCGAATATTTTTCGACGTAAGCCTATACCCCCTTTCATTTTTCGCGAACACTCCCTATATATCATTTTATAAAATACTGGGTGAGGTGCCCAGCGTTTCCCGTTGTATTTTGAAAACACTTCGAAATTTCGAAATTTGAAGAAAAATGAATTCGAAATATAAAAAAAAAATACAAGTTTTAAAACAATCAGATTTTTGAAGATCTTTTTGCCTTTTTTACACCTGGGGTACTGTATGAAGTGTTGTTGTCCAGGTTGGATCTATGAGAGCTGAGTTGGCTAAGCATGGTCAGGAGCATCTCCTTAATCACTGGGATTCTATCTCTACGGAGGAGAAGAAGCTCCTGATGAAGGAGCTCCAGGAGCTCGACTTCAAGGAGCTCAACGAGTACTTCAACAGAACTGTTGGGGAGCTGGAGTCTGCTGGACAGAAGCTGGATGATAGGTTAGTTAAAAATATATTCTAACTAGCGGAAGTGCCCGGCGTTGCCCGAGAAATTATAGAAATGTTTTTATTTTATCGATAAAAAAATAATTTTAATTTTGAAAAAAATATTCAAATTTTGAAAGAAAAAAATCTTGTTTAAAAACCCAATGATTTCCTTAAAAAATGTCAGCCAAATTTGGTGCAGCCATTTAGCCAGCTATAGCTAACATTTGAATAAATGTCTATGTATATGATCGAAGTGCTTTTTATAATAATTACCCTAGCCTAGAGCTATAAGTAGTCTCAATAAGTAGTCTTTGCAGTAAGGTGCGAACTTTGAGATATGTTGGGACTATTTTTCAGTTTTGACCATTACATCAAGCCAGTAAATCCCTAAAAAAAATCAGCAAGTCAGGTCCTGTTCAGTATCAAAGATTTAGATAGAGACTTAGCTTTAAACTAGCAACCTCTAATGTCGTACGCCTTTGATATTGCTATCTTAAAGGGAGTGTTCACGAAAAATGAAAGGGGTATAGGCTTATTGCGATAAAAAAGCGCTTTTGATCGCTACTAATCTTATTTCTATCTGTTGCGTCTATAAGGAGAAAATTGTTAAAGACGTCTCATACCGAATAATTAAGCGGCCATACAAATTGAGAAAATTATAACATACTACTTAGACTGTAAAAAATCAATTTAATTTCAAACAAATCATTTAGATATTACAACCTATAGTCATCGATTATCTTTCGCCACATTTATATATAGTTTATATTTTATAATATTTTATTTTTTAAAAAACGTTTTCAACGGATTTCGATCGATGGTTGGTGAGTGGTGTGCGGCATTCTTAGATAGTTGCGCAAGCGACAAGAGAAATAAACAAATTAATTAAAAAAATATTATAAAATATAAACTGTATACAAATGTGGCGAAAGATAATCGATGACTTTAGGTTGTAATATTTGAATGATTTGTTTCAAATTAAATTGATTTCTTTACAGTCCAAGTCGTATGTTGCAATTTTCTCAATTTGTATGGCCGCTAAGTTATTCGGTATGAGACGTCTTTAACAATTTTCTCCTTATAGACGCAACAGAGAGAAGTAAGATTAGTAGCGATCAAAAGCGCTTTTTTATCGCACTAAGCCTATACCCCCTTTCGTTTTTCGCGAACACTCCCTTTAATAAATCATGTTAGATCAAATAGTTTGAAATAGAAGTGGTTTACGCCATCAGGTAGCTAAAATATTAAGAAAAGACAACTTCTTCAATTTATCTTTGAAACTGTCTTTATCATAAATTAGCTACGTATGTTTTTTAAGACCAAATATTAAAACCTGGTTTTCCTGTTACAAATTTCCGCAGATAGATCTTATAAACATTGTTAAAGCGTAACCTTGAATGTGCTGATGATGATTCCAGTTCTCATAATTGTGGAAATTTCTATTGATTTAGACTTGAATCAACTCTTAAAGGGACTCTGGACGTAGTTTCAAGTAACTCTCCTTTTTTACAGTTGAATTTTTGATTTACATCAGTGCTATGGAAATCTTGTTTTATTTTTTGGTTTCTTTTCGAACATGACTTTAAATTTTGGCTGCAGAACCAATTGAAAGAACTTGTCGGAATTTATAACACACAGAATCTCAAACAGGTGTATTGCCCCTCCCCCAGCCTCTTCCCCCTGACTCTTCCATTCCAGCATAAAATATTCATTCATCTTCACCCAGCTTATCACAAAAAAATAAACCTTGAAATAATAAAAATAATCCAGAAGCAATAAAAAGCGCGCTAGCTCTCAGATTATAAAAAATCAGGGAGAAAAAGTTGAGAACTTAAAATTATCATAATCAAAAAAATTTATTTTTTTTGACAATTTTTTATGATTTATCTTTTTTCCTACTTAACACCCTCAACTAAGCTTTCGGTGTGAACTGCATTGATGTGCACTCTAACCAAAGAAATAGCTAGTGGGAGTTAAGACTTAGTGGAAAGTGATTTAAGATTATAAATTGTAATTAAATTATTGCCGGCTTTTTGAATGATAGTCGCTCAATGGAATTTTGTTCCCCTGAATATATTCCTGACTCGCTTAAAATCAATATTTGTTTCTAATAAATATAACTAATTGCCTGATAAGACTATAATAAAAAAATCTTTAAATACTATTAAGTTTAACTGCCTGGAATATTAACTTTTGTGAAAAAAATTGGATAATATTTGTTTCCTATCTTTCCTGAACGTATTGTCATAATTTGATTCATAGTTTGAGATATCTAAAGTCTATGTCATTCCGTTGCAAAGAAACAGGGAAACGAACATCAAAGTTTGTGTTGAAGATTCAATTGTTGCCTATATAAAGTTTGGATTTAAAAATTGCCATGAATAACTTCTCTCCTGATTTTTAAATGTAATTTTTATGTAGGATGGAGCCCCTTGATGAGGACCAATGTGGAGCTATGGTTAAATCAACTAACGAGGAGCTGGACCACTATGAGTCCTTGTCTATGTCTGAGATCGGAGAAGGACGTGTTGGTATCCTACTGCTGGCAGGAGGACAAGGAACTAGACTGGGAACTAGTTATCCTAAGGGAATGTATGATGTTGGTTTACCATCAGGGAAAACATTGTTCCAACTTCAGGTGATAATAATGTTTGTATGATGTTGGTTTACCATCAGGGAAAACATTGTTCCAACTTCAGGTGATAATAATGTTTGTATGATGTTGGTTTACCATCAGGGAAAACATTGCTCCAACTTCAGATGATAATAATGTTTCTATGATGGCGGTCTAGGCTCTCCAAGCTGGGAGAGTTTTCAGATCTTTTCCTTATCTTATTTTTTAATTATACAATTGAATAGCTAGAAGTAATTGATCTACTTAGACTTAGTTGAACCACTTTTCTTAAATGACCGGTTTAAGTTCTTAAGAAGTGGTTTGAATTAGTTTTGAAGTTCAACTACTTCTAGCTAAGTTTGGTCTCTGGACTGACCCAAGGGGTTCATGGTTACCCACAAAGAATAAGACGTTAAAGACGACTGCACGAAATGTATTTAGTCTTTAAATTATTATATTTAAGATTCCCTGCAGTTGTAAATCAAATATATATGCAACCAAATGATTTTATAACTATGGCAGGAACCCGAAATAGTCTTGCAGGAGTTTAGGTCGTCTTTAAAATTTTCATTCTTTTGTGTATAGTGTATAATATATGATTAAAAAGAATGCAAAAAATACTTTGCTCCAAAATGTTCTTTAAAAAATCTGCAATTGCACAGTAAATCCAGCTAAATTAAAAACTAACTAATTTATCCATATTTTGTATCAGGCTGAGCGTATTCTGAAGCTTGAAAGATTAGCTGCGGCTAGAACAGGAAAAGACGGAAAAATCACCTGGTACATCATGACCTCAGCCTCTACTGTCGGCCCCACCCAGGCCTTCTTCAGCTCCAACAACTACTTCGGGCTGAAGCAGGAGAACATCGTTGTATTTCAACAGGGAACCCTCCCTTGCTTCACGTTCCAAGGTAAGATCCTCCTGGCAGAGAAGCACAAGCTGTCCAGAGCTCCTGATGGGAACGGAGGACTGTACCGTGCTCTCCGGGTTCAAGGAGTACTAGAGGATATGAAGAAGCGTGGTATCAAGAGTATCCAGCTGTACTGTGTAGATAATATCCTTGTCAAGGTTGGGGATCCAGTATTCATGGGATACTGTCTAGCTAAGGGAGCAGAGTGTGCAAATAAGGTAATTTTTATAAATTTACAGTGGTGACCAGAAAAAAGTGGAATCATTATCTTCTTATCATTAAATATTTTTCAACTAAAAATATTTACCAGTTGATAAAACCCCTTTCATTCAAAGTAAATTAACTTTTTCGCAAACATTTTTAATGCAGACTAGCAAATATGGATGATTCTTCCATGAGGAAAATAATTTTAATATCTTAAATGTAACACTAAAAAAAACGTTTTAACATTTTACGAAATTTTATCTCTTACAAAGTTCCTTTACATTTTTAAACATTTTATATTTCCAACTACGTTTTAGTCTTTCAAACTTATAGAAATCACTTATTTTTCACTTTTTTGTTAAATGTCTGATCTTTCATTCTTTTAGTGAATTATCTGTTTTTTAAACAAAACAAAAACACGTTTTTTCATCCATTTGCAAACATTTTTTTCTCAAGTTTTCACTCAAAAATTGATATTTCTTATGAAACATTTTCATTCATCTCAAACTTTTCTAGCAACATTTTCATTTCTTCCATACATTTCTAACAATATTTTCATATCTCATTAAACATTATTAACAATATTTTCATTTCTCCCAAACATAAATGTTAAGGTTGTACGGAAAGGGTTTCCTACGGAAGCTGTTGGTATAACATGTAAAGTGGACGGACACTATCAGGTCAACATTTTGTTTAAGTTTAGTTGATTTACCGACAAATTGGGTGCACGTCCCCCTCCACTACAAATTAAAGTTTTACATCCCTTCCCCTCTTGAAAGATTGTCGTACCAGAAAGAGATTTCAGCCTCTTAATTTTAATCTTTATTAATGTTTTTTTTAATTCCTTAAAAAATTCTGTTATTTTCATCTTACACTTTCTTTACTTGCAATTATTTCCTAAATAACTTTAATATTATGTATTTAATATATCGTGCTGTATATTTCCTTCTTTACTCCATTTATATTTTCATATATCCTATTTCCTTTGTCTACCTTTATCTTGAAATATGTAAATGTAAACATATGAAATATGAAATTCGTGTATTTTTTAAAGAAGATTTTTTTTATCAAATTATTTTAATATTGTCTTTGCTTTCAATTCAATTGATCGATAAAAAAAATTGACTAGGTGGTAGAGTACTCTGAGATAACGAATAGTTCTGCGGAGCGAAAGAACCATGATGGAAGTCTGGTGTACTCTGCAGCAAACATCTGCATACATTTCTTCACCTTCGAGTTCTTAGGTCAGAAGAATATCATTGTTTCTTATCTTTCTTTCTTGTGTCTGTCTTTTGTACATCTTGTGTCCATCTTGTGTCCATCTTGTGTCCATCTTGTGTCCATCTTGTGTCCATCTTGTGTCCATCTTGTGTCCATTTTATTTTCTGATTATCATACTATCTAGTTGTCTTACTATCTAATAAGTTGTTGACTATCTAGTTATCTGACTATCAAATTGTCTAACTATCTTACTATCTGCACATTTCTTCCCTACCCATCACATTTTTTATCTTATTGTGTAATTATCTTAATTATTATTATTGATTTTTCTTGAAATATATTATTATTTTATTTTTATTTTTATTTTATAGGATTAATATTCTATAATCTTTTTTCATTTTCTTCTGTCATCTTGTTATCTGGTTATTTTGCGGTCAACCTGTTTCATTAAAAATAAACGGTATATTTATTTGTTTAGAACGAGTTGTGACAAAGAACGAGAAATCTCTTCAGCATCACGTGGCCAAGAAGAAAATTCCGTTCGTTGACGAATCTGGGGAGATTGTCTCTCCGTCAACTCCAAACGGAATCAAGATGGAAAAGTTTGTTTTTGATGTCTTCAGGTATAAATTGGAAAAAGTAAACGAAAAAAAACATGTTTTTAAATTTTTTCGAGCCTTTTTTATAAATGAATTTGCAGCTTTGGATCCTTAATTATTATAGATATATATATCAACGTACAAATTTAGTATTTCCAACTATTAGAGTTAATGTCCTAAATTTCAAATCAAAGAAACTTGAAATAATTTTCCTCGCTGAAATCACTCCTTGAGCTGCGCAACGTACCGTTAAGAAACAGTTGAGTTTCCAATTATCAATGAACAAAATTAACCGTTCTGGAAAAAAACTAATGGAAATTATGAAAGAACGAACAGATGTTTTTTAAAATAGCAATAAAGTTAACAGCAGCTAATTCTTACGGTTTTAATTTCATAAAAGATGCATGTACAAATAACTTTTTTCTATTGATTTTATAACAAAATTATATCTATATTTCAAATATAAAGAAGCAAAACTCTCGTTATCGGGATCGAAAAATTGATAACTTCTTTGAACGGGAAAACAAGGGACTGCCCTGTTATTAGTGTTATTGTTAAAAATATTCCTATTCGTAAATCTATCTTAAAAGTAACCGAACGATTGTGAATTTCTTTTAAAACTTATAACGCAGTTCTACTAGGCAATCATTCTGAGTCTTATAAAGAAACTAAATTTACCAGTTTAATGTGTTTTTAACTCTTGCATGATTACCCGCGTACTATTTCCTTCTGGGTTTAAAGTACAAACGTCAATTAAGTAAGAATAGTGATGCATCAAATATATGCATTGCATATTTTAATTGCTTCAAACAATGACGCAAAAATTATTAATTACATTTTATCAAATTATATAAATTTCAGGTTTGCGAATAATTTCGTGGTTTGGGAATGTCTCCGAGATGAGGAATTTGCTCCCCTCAAGAATGCTGAGGGAGCTAAAGATTTCACTCCCTCTTACTGCAGGTCAGCATAGATTATTCCCTTTCAGTTTATACTTTTGCATTCACACCCCTCTATTTTCCTTTTAATTCTAGTTAGTTTCACTCCCTTCTAATCCAATTACTCCCAACTATTGCATTTCATTCCCTTGTGATTGTGATTCACTTGTGATTGTACTCTCTTTCTGTGAAATGTACTCACTTCTTGTGTATTGTGCTCTTTTTAAATGCATATACTACCTGCCACTGCAATGCACTCCCTTCTCGTGTATTTACTCCCATGTGCAATCCACTCCCTTCTTGTTTATTGTGCTCTTTTTAATGCATCTACTACCTGCCACTGCATTTCACTCCCTTCTTGTGTATTGTGCTCCCTTTTAATGCATTTAATACCTATCACTATTGCACTCCCTTCTCGTACATTACTCCCTTCTTGTGTATTGTGCTCCCTTTTAATGCACATACTACCAACACTGCATTGCACTTCTTATCGTGCATTTACTCCCATGTACAATCCACTCCCTTCTAGTTTATTGGTCTCCCTTCTAAAGCATTCTCTCTCCCTCATATCATAATGTCATCAAGTTTATGTAATGTAGACTGTAAACCCAAATATTTAATAAATGTTTTATTATTTAGAAATGCACTTCTCTCTCTACATCAGAAATGGCTAAAAATGGCTGGAGCACAGATAGTTAGTGGATCAGGTTTTAATATATTTATTTATTATCTTTATATTATATTACTAGATCCCATATAGACCAGGGCAAATGGCGGAGCTCAACCCTATCTTTCATTGTATAAAAGCCTTCAGAAAAATAGCACATTTCTAACAATTATACTTAAAAGAAAAGAAAGAGAAAAAATCCGTAATTGTTCCATTTAAAAAAAAATATTTTTCTCTCTTTATTTAACTAATCCGTTTCTTATTTGTTCCTACGGATTAATTTTATTGCCACAGGTCGATAAGAAATCGCGAAAATTTGTGACAGCTGATTCAGCCCTTAATTGCTTTAAATTAAAAGTGTTCATGTAAACATGGAATTCAATCGTTTTAGATTAGCGTTAACTTAAGTTAACATTACTTAATCCAGGTACTGAGTATCCTCTGATGACCAGCCCGGCTAGTGAAGGAAACAATAACTCTGAAAGTATTGAGGACGAACCCGAGGTTGTCCTCACAGAAATCTGTCCTCTACTCAGCTATGCCGGAGAAGGACTTGAACCACTAGTCTCGGGAAAAAAGTTGACACCTCCCATTCATCTTACCCTTTCCTCATGATCCTTCAATATACCCTTTCCTCATGATCCTTCAATATACCCTTTCTATGATCCTGCAATATACCCTTTATTCATGATCCTTCAATTCACCCTTTCCTCATGATCCTTCAATAAATCCTTTCATCATGATCCTTCAATATATGTTTTCCTTCAACTAGAATCTCCTCATAAACCTCAAATTCACCTTCCTTATTTATCCTATTCTCCTTCTTCTCCTAAAATCCTCCAAAAATGCTCAAGCTCCTGAAGTAAAACTAACCCGATGCTTTTCTGTACTTATCCTTCATAACTCCTTCGTTAACCTTTATATAATATAATGTATTGTAAATATATATATCTAATGTATGAGGAAGTCCCATTGAAGGATATTAAAATTTATGATGCGAGACTAAATTGCTCCGAAACCCCCCAAGCACAAGAAGAACCATTTTATAAACAATATATATATGTTATGTGGCATTACATAAAGTAAGAATATATCTGTGATTTTATTGATTATGATTCTACGAAGATTTTATACTTTTACTTTGCAAAATAAATACTATATTTTATAAAACTGATATTTATTGAACATTTTCCGCTAAACCTATTTTTCAGGAGTAGAGGACATTCAAGCTATTTTATGAAACTATTGTGTGCTTTATCATTTAATATTCACTTCATGGTAAATTTTATCATAGACATGCCATGAAGTAATCATTATTGTATAAACTTTTTCTAGAATTTCTAAATTTTCACGTTATTATTTTCATATATTTATGCAGGGTGTCTTTAAAAACGTTTTTTTTTATACATAAAAGTGTCGATGGCAGATCGCCATAGGGTTGTCTCCCACCATTGAACTTACACTCGGCTCTTAACTTAAGCGGAAGGGATCTCGAGTGTAAAATCTCAGATTTACAGTGATCATTACCATTACCATTACCATTACCATTACCATTACCATTACCATTACCATTACCATTATGGTTGAACTAGAGGTATTAGCACACAAATTTAAGCATTTATTGCGGGTTTATGACAGTTTGAATTCTGCCATTTTGGCTTAGTTGAATTCGTTATGTATTTCATAAAAAAAAATCCTTACAAAAAATTTGAAATTCTATAAATTGATAAAGCTGATGTGGACATTCATTGCAAAAATGTGATACTGGGTATAACAGCTGCGAAAGATATCGTAAACAATAAAGACCATTTATAATAAAATTATGATAAAAATAACAAAGTGAAATTAATTCAAATCAATTTTTTTACTCTTCATGACAGAAACAATCTGACGAGGGTCAATCCAGACCGAAATATATTTTATGAAACTATTGTGTACTTTATCATTCTTCCTCACTTCATCGTAAATTTCATAATGAACGTGCTATAAAGTCAAATTAGCTTATACCTTATAGCATCTGTGCAATAAAGTTTTGATTGGTTCCCGGATTTTCTCCAAAAAAATTAATTCATTTCCAAAATAATTTTTTCAAATAAACTCAAAATAAATTGAATTCAACTTTATATTTTGACTTCCGCTTTGTTTCAAAGCTTATTTGATCTAGAAATAGCCATTGAAATAAGACAAAATTAAATATCGATAAAGAGAAAATTTCTGTCCAAAAACTTTATAACACTGCGTACCAAATAAGAGTTATAAATAGTTATTTCAATAAAATGTGAAACTAAAATTTACTTTATTTAATTTATCACCATCACCAAATTTAAAATTTCAAATCCTTTTTCTACATTTGGCATCTTCTAATCGAACATCAAAACACAAATATGAAAAGATAACTTTTTTTTAATCTCGAAATCAATTTTCAACCTGGCCAAAGTGGCAAACTTGATTTGAACTCATAATGTCATTACATCCTCAATTTTTGTGCTACATACAGGGTGTCCCACGAAACATGACAATAGCAAGACGACTTGAAAGTCGTCTTTGATATTTGAATTTATTTGTGACATTTAGTCTTCTATCTACTTTAACATGTATGATTCTTGAAACAATTATCACATAATTCTCCTAGCCCTGGCATTTCCAAAAAGTGGTCTGCGTTTTTTGTGCTTTCAATATTACCGGAGATATAAAGAATTTGGTTCAGATTTCAATTTTGTTAAATAAAAGCAAAATTGTCGAAATCTAAACGAAATTGTTCATATCTCGGGCAATATTGAAAGCACAAAAAATGCAGACCACATCTTGGAAATGGCAGGACTAGGGGAATTTTGTGATTATTATCTCTAGAAATTTACTTCTAAAATTAGGTTGACAAATGAACGCAGCAAATTATATCAAAAATCAAGACGACATTCAAGGCCTCTTGCATACTGTCATGTTTCGTGGGACACCCTGTACCTTTGGCAACACACGATCGAAATGGCTAAAATTGAACAACAGTTAACGTTTTTTTTCAATTAAAGCTATATCATAAAAAAAGTATTCTCATTTGAAAGAATCTGTTTATTGTTTATTGTTTATTGGGCTTGTTTTTATTTAATATCATTCATGGTAGTTTCTACATTTTTATATTAAGTGGGAAAGGTTTGTACTCTAAGAATTCATTAAAAAAATGTCCGGAAAATTACCAAAAAAAGACTAAATGTAAAAAAAAGTTCAGTCTGACAAAAAAACATAAAATCCAATAAGTTAATTACGTTTTGCGAATAAATCCCTCTTAATTTAAATCATGGCCAACATCAATGTCCCGTTCATTTTTAATTCCATTAAGATCAGAATTGAATGTCGTCTTCTGCTTTGTCAAGATAAAAAATTAATGAATTTATACTTAATCTTGAAGTGTATAATGGGGGGGGGGGGGGGGGATTTAGAATTAAATTTTGAGATTTCTCATTGACATTTTTGAGCTGCTTGTTCCAGTTATAGTATATTATTATCTGAACCATTTAAAAATACTTTTTGTTGTAATCTCCCTCAAGAAAAAAAGTAGGTAATTTTGTAAACAATTATCAGCGGATAGGGTTAAATATCCCATAATGCTAAATCTCTATAAATAATAATATATATATTTTAACAGAGTATAACTAAATTCAGTTAAATGTACAATGTGAAAGGACCAATTTTGTAGGTTAACCTAGTTTCTACAATACATCAAACAACTCTTACAAAATGTGGTCTTAAAACACTTCTATTTGGGTTTACATTTAATTATTTGTTTATTCTTATGCCTGATTTTAGACAAATTTCTTATATCTTGTATGGTAAAAATAAGCACTAATTGCAGACCACATTTTGTAGATCCGAGACAAGGAGACCATTGTCATATTTTAGAATTCTAGTTATTATTGCCCGATTTCTTAGACGTTCTACCATAGTCACACATTGGTTACGCTTTACCAGAGCAGTGTAGATAGATAGATACGACCTATAGTTTTACCTATGGTGACATGAATAAGAAATTGGACATATTGCATTCACAAAAGGATTTTATGTAAAAAGAAGACGAGTAACAATGATTAAATGGTTCATTAACATAAAGATAGCTTGAAATTAACCAAAAATAAAATAGACTAAATGAAATTTTGACCGTTTGTCGCCCTTTTTGATCCTATGTCGTTTTACCCTTTGTAGCGTTTTTGACAGTTAGTCGTTTGACCCTATGTCGTTTGACCCTATGGCATTTGACCCTAGGTCGTTTGACCCTATGGCATTTTACCCTAGGTCGTTTGACTCTTTGTCGGTGAATCACTCCCACAGTTTGTAGACTTGCAAAATCATTAATTTTGAAGTAAAAAAAAACATTGTTGTAATCTGAAAATTCTACCACGATAAAAAATGTCTAATTTTAATCATTTTATTGAATTATTATGCAGTTATTAACATCACATAAAGTTAAAACACATATATCTATTAAATAGAATAATCAGAAAAATAAAAATAAATAAGTCTTCAAATATAATTTCACTTTTTTCAGCTTAGAAAGGTTTAAAACTATTTTCTAAATTTAATTAAGCGTTATATTCCTGAATACTGGATGAAAGTTATCACGGTTCAAGGTCAAAGACAAAAAACTGAAATGAAAATAAAACACCTCCTGCACCTTCTTCAATCGGAAATAAAACACAACATAAAAAATTCAATTGAATCAAATTATAACACGGGTATCCTTATAGGCAAGAACCATGGTCAAATTTTAAAAAAAATCATATGAATCAAAATAAGATTTTTGATCAAAATAAGATTTTTAGTATTCGACTAAAAAATTAATACTTATTGAAGGTACTATAGAAATAATTTTAAGTAATTCTCCATGTATGAGGTGACATGTTCGATTAACAAAGGTACCCTCTCAACCTTTGTCTGATCAAGGAAAATAATATTATTTCGGTGACTGTAAACCGAGAGAGTACACTGATCTCAAAAATCTTCCAAAACTCAATTTACTTAAATAATATCGATATTTTCGTCCTCCTTCCTCAGACAAATGTTTAAAGAGTACTGTTGTAAATCAGACATGCCACTCTACAGTCTACAAGTATCGAGTCACTTGAAAAATTCCTTCTACAGTCCCTTTACAATCAAATGCTCTAATGTAGAGAATAATGAATTTAATCAATCTTGAGGTAGCAGAGACCCTCGTTCTGATTACACCACTCAGGCTGTAGGGCATCTGCCTGGATACCTCGGGCAACAAGGTCTTCACGATGAGTAACCATTCTAAAAAAATATTATTAATGAATGGCATGAATTTAGTGCTGTTTTTTTACTAAAAGATACAGTTATAACCAGAAAACTCTGAAATAGGAAGACGACTTTAGACTCAAGTTGTGACATTAAATAGTCCAATAAGCTTGGTACACAGCAAGGATGCAGTGTAAACACCCCCATTTTACTTAATTAGTGATATAATAAGCGTCTAGTTAAAACTATTTGCTCTTTAACAACAACAAATACATATTAAGTATTGCTATAAAGTCGTCTTCCTATTTCAGAATTTTCTGTTACTTACTGTAGGTAGCAGAACGGATAGTTTTATAATATTTATATTTTTGTCTTTTCTTTTCGTTTCTTTAACACCAAATCGACTAAATTTACAAAAACTCTAATGCTGCCGATTCTTCACAACTTAAAAAAGTAAAATTAATTCTGACCAGAGATCACAGATCGGAACTTTAGTTATTGTTATATTCTTGAACGCTTGATATCGATATCAATGTTGGCACTTTTGAGGATCAATGTTTAATACCTTGATTAAAGTTTTCCCTGCAGGGTATACTCATCAACGGATATCAAAAAGGAATTAAATTAATTCATAGATTTGCACAATCATGGAGATAGTTCCAACCTCGGTTAAGATTACTAAAAGTTTGATATTAAATGTATTAAGAAAATTGTTACCGGATCTCCGCTTGCTTCCAATCAGTTTCCAGATCAGACCAGAGTCTCTCCGCCAGGGCGGAGGCTCTGGGCCAAAGCTTGTGAACAACTGCCTCACCGTCCACCTGTTCGGTCCACATAGCTGCCTCTCCGCCTAATATAAGATGTTCATTCTCCGCATTCCCACCCTGGGCTCTAAACAGAGAAAAATATTAGATTAAATCTATTCTATTTTATATCTATCTATCTATGTTTTTAACTAATCCATATTAACAGTCTCGTGTGAATATTCTGTTATTAAAGGTAAATCTATTTGAACATTGACATTTTGCTGTGTATTTATTTTAACATTGACATTTTGCTGTGTATTTATTTTAACATTGACATTTTGCTGTGTATTTATTTTAACATTGGCATTTTGCTGTTTATTTATTTGAACATTGGCATTTTGCTGTTTATTTATTTGAACATTGGCATTTTGCTGTTTATTTATTTGAACATTGGCATTNGAACAATGGTCATATAATGAACTAATTCTTTCTCTGCGTTTATGGGACTGTGGAGAAGAATTCATTTTAAATTCTCAATATAAAAACATTAAATAAAACTAGTATTGGTCGATTCATGATTTTATTATTGTTTATCCTCTAACCTCGATCTTTCATGTAGTATTTTTTGGTAAAATCGTAGAAACCTATAAAAATTCTATAAAAAATATCCAACCTGTAAATTTTCCTAGGTGAGTTTTCGTAAACAATCTGCCAACCCTTGTACGGACTGCACCAGTTATTCCCTTCTCCCACCCAGCTGCTGTACCCGCAGTCCATGTACCAGGCGTCAGAGTTGGAGAATATCACCCTGTACCCCTTGTTTATCAGCTCAGAGATCACAGCATCGTCTCCTTAACAATATTGATAACATGAACATTTTATCACGGACTTACAGTCGTCGTATATATCAATGCATTAAAGACGACTTTCTATTTCCATTATGAATTCTATCACGCTTTCAAACAACATGATACATAAAAACAAGAAAACAAAGAGAAGCTGTCAATTAGGAGATTCTTTTGGTTTACTTGTAAATTTAAATTTGAAAAAAGCATGATGAAAATCAGAACTTATTTATAAAAGGCGTTTTTTAATTTACTGGTATGAACGCCGACAACTGTACAGAAAATAAGTACAACTGGATCCAAAAAGATTACCAATTAAAGATTATCGAAACATAATCAAAATCAGTGTCATCATTTATATCCTTCTTACTATAATTATAAATTTTAGTGTTCATGCTTTTTTATATCGGGAACCTTAGATTCTGAAAGTAGTGGTTTCATTATTACTATCACTCTCTTAAACATCTTACAATTCGGACAACAATGTTCGATATCTCTTGTGTAAAATCTTTAACTCATTTCAGGTCTTCAATTCACACCTGCAGTCCAGATTTGAATGATATAATCATCTTTACTGAGATACTTCTCAACTTCCCCGTTCTCTGTTAGTCTGGAGGTCCATAATACCAGGGGGAGGCTCTTCCCTGCTGCAGTGTACACTTTCTCAGCTGCCTGAATTTTAGAGGATTTTTATAAAAAAGAGGAATTTGCGCTAATGGTTTATTAAAAATTTACATAGCAATAAGTAATAAATTTATTTATGTTAAAGAGCTGGGGGGGGGGGGTTAGAAAATAACCTGTGTTTGGAATACGTTCCATAATTCCACAAGTTCCTCTTCAGTTCCAACCTCACCCCGTTCCTCCAAATAGTCTCTGAACCAATCAATCAATAAATTAAGAATAATATTTAATATTAAATATTTTTTCCAGTTTTCAGCAGTCTTCTAGGATGACTTTTTGACATTGTATTTGGTTTGTATTCCCTTTTTTCCCTTTTCATAACATTCAGACCTGTGTAGGCAGAATATAATGAAAAGACGTAGGGATTTCTCATAATCATAATTCTTAGTTAAAATAACAAAAAAGCTTAAAAATATATATATATAATAAAACAAGACATTCGTATTATATGTTCCCAATAGCCGGCCAAACGGCTGGACCGAATGAGCTGAAATTATTTGCGGACACTCATGGGTGGCCGGGGGGTGTTATAGGCTAAACTAAACAAAAAATTAGAATTTTTTTCAAAATATATATTTTTTCAAATTTCTTTACGGGCAACGCCAGGCCCTTCAACTAGTTATAAATAAAACACAAATCTTAAACTTACTTTGGTCTACTTCGATTTTATTGATTTGGTTAAAAATAATAAGAATAAGTCTAAAAACTGATTGATAATTTCCTAATTTCTTGCGATGTATTCCAGCAGTTTAGATTCACCTCGTCTCCCCCCATATGGAAAATGTCAGTATCAAACATCTCAAAGAAATCTTCATACAGTTTACCTAAATAAAATGTTTTGATTACCATATTTTAAAGAAAAGTTTACCAATTTTTGAGTATAATTGTGACGTTCTCAGTCTTAAGAAATGTATACGATAGTAGAATAATAAGTTGAATTTATTTACAAAAAATGTGCGGAAAGATTGTTAAAATCCACGAAGCAAACTGAACACTTTCCTCAAAATCTAATTTTCTGGGACAGTTTATGCAAACATTTTTATTTAGAGAAAGTAAACAACTGTGGGTTCCCTCCATGAAAACTTTGTGCTGAAATTTTAACTACAATAACCTAATAACGTTTTTGATCATGAAATCTGAACACACCATAATAGTGTACTACTACTTCCCATATTCTAAAGGTCCGCCTTTTTTACATAGCCAGGGTAGTGTACACATTAGGGTTTACTTACCCAGGGTAGTGTACACATTAGGGTTTACTTACCAAGGGTAGTGTGCACATTAGGGTTTACTTAAACCAGGGTAGTGTACACATTAGGGTTTACTTACCCAGGGTAGTGTACACATTAGGGTTTACTTACCCAGGGTAGTGTGCACATTAGGATTTACTTAAACCAGGGTAGCGTACACATTAGGGTTTACTTACCCAGGGTAGTGTACACATTAGGTTTTACTTACCCGGGGTAGTGAACACATTAGGGTTTACTTACCCAGGGTAGTGTACACATTAGGGTTTACTTACCGAGGGTAGTGTACACATTGGGGTTTACTGGGTTTAGCTGTCCACAAGGGGGTTCAACACAAAACTCTTGCCAGGGTTCCTGATTAACACATACAGCCAGTCTTCCTTTACCTGTATATATATTTTATAATGTACAATGTACATAACATTATCATTATTGTACTAAATATAATTCCTTTTGTTTAATATATTACTTTAGTTTTACGTCAAATTTTTTGCTGTATGTACTTCATATAATTTTTATTGTACTTCAATATTTTTCTTATTTTGTTTTAAAGAAGTTTGTAATTTACAGTTAATCTAAGAAAATCCTCAGAGAGTTTTCTTTACTTTCTCAATTCTTTCATTACAGTTTATAAAGTGTCCGGGAAAAAATTCAACTCAGGAAAAGGAATTTGCCACAAACTCGAATTTTCTAATTTCTATGTCTTTGCAGCCTGATGGTGTAAACCTTTGATATTCAGATTATTTGATATAACATAGTTTGAAATATCTGAGGTATAGTTACCTTCCTTCCCCCTGAACTACCAATCATCGTATAGTTATCTCCCGTCCTTCCCCCCTGAACTACCATCCATTGTCTAGTTATCTCCCGTCCTTCCCCCTGAACTACCAACCATTGTCTAGTTACCTTTCTTCCCACTAACTACCAACCATTGTATAGTTACCTTCCTTCCTTCCCCCTGAACTACCAACCATGTCTAGTTATCTTCCGTCCTTCCCCCTGAACTTCCANACCATGTCTAGTTATCTTCTGTCCTTCCCCCTGAACTTCCAACCATTGTCTAGTTACCTTCCTTCCCCCTGAACTTCCAACCATTGTCTATTTACCTTCCTTCCCACTGAACTTCCAACCATTGTATAGTAACCTTCCTTCCCCCTGTACTACCAACCATTGAATAGTTACCTTCCTTCCCCCTGAACTACCAACCATTGTCTAGTTACCTTCCTTCCCACTGAACTACCAACCATTGTATAGTTACCTTCCTTCCCCCCTCTGAACTACCAACCATTGTATAGTTACCTTCCTTCCTTTCCCCTGAACTACCAACCATTGTCTAATGTCTAGTTACCTTCCTTCCCACTGAACTACCAACCATTGTATAGTTACCTTCCTTCCTTCCCCCTGTACTACCAACCATTGTATAGTTATCTTCCTTCCTTACCCCTGAACTACCAACCATTGTCTAGCTGCCAACCTTTCCTCTGAACTATAGTTACCTTCCTTCCCACTGATTAACCAACCATTGTATAGTTACCTTCCTTCCTTCCCCCTGAACTACCAACCATTGTCTAGCTGCCAACCTTTCCTCTGAACTATAGTTACCTTCCTTCCCAAGGAACCACCAATCATTGTCTAGATACCTTCTTTCCTTCCCCCTGAACAACGAACCATTGTCTAGTTACCTTCCTTTAACAGCCAACCGTTGTCTGATTACCTTCTTTCTCTCCGAACTGCCAACCGTTGCCAACGTGAGCCGGAGCATCAAACTCTGGAAGAACTCTAACTCCTCTAAGTTTAGCATATTCCACTATCTCCTTGATATCTTGAGGACTATAGATCTTCCTGCAGACACAATGAAATCAATTTATGCCTTGTCAGAGGAATAGAGAAAAAACAGAATATCTGATAAAACAGGCCAAATCTGTACGATATAACAATTTTCTCATTTCAAATCATTATTTCTATTTATTTAGTTATTCCTATTATCGAAATCCCACGATTTCACCATCTTTATCCTTGATTATACAATCTACAATCTACATTCCAAGAATTAACCATCCTTGATTTTAAAATCCACAATATTCATCCCTTGATTAAACCCTTGTTTATCCTTAATTTTATAATCTCAAGCTTAACCCCAAGAATCAAGATTTAACTATCATTATCCTTGATTTTATAATCTACAATATACATCCCTTTATTAAACTATCTTTATCCTTGAATTGATATTCCACAATATACATCCCTTTATTTAACTATCTTAATCCTTGATTTTACATTCCACAATATACATCCCTTTATTTAACTATCTTTATCCTTGATTTTATATTCCACAATATACATCCCTTTATTTAACTATCTTTATCCTTGATTTTATATTCCACAATATACATCCCTTTATTTAACTATCTTTATCCTTGATTTTATAATTTACAATATACATTCCTTTATTTAACTATCTTAATCCTTGATTTTACATTCCACAATATACATCCATTTATTTAACTATCTTTATCCTTGATTTTATAATCTACAATATACATCCCTTTATTTACCTATCTTAATCCTTGATTTTATAATCTACGATCTTAACCCTATGATTTAACCATCTTTCTCCTTGATTTTATAATCTACAATACACATTTTTTGATTTAACCATCTTAATTATTTGTTTTTATAATCTACAATATACATCCCTTGATTTAACTATCTTAATCCTTGATTTTATAATCTATGATCTGCATGATTTAACCATCTTTCTCCTTGATTTTATAATCTACAATACACATTTCTTGATTTAACCATCTTAATACTTGATCTACAATATACATCCCTTGATTTTACTATCTTTATCCTTGATTTTATAATCTACAATATACATCCCTTTATTTAACTATCTTAATCATTGATTTTATAATCTACAATATACATCCCTTTATTTAAGAATCTTTATCCTTGATTTTATAATTTACAATATACATCCCTTTATTTAACAATCTTTATCCTTGATTTTATAATTTACAATATACATCCCTTTATTTAACAATCTTTATCCTTGATTTTATATCCCACAATATACATCCCTTTATTTAACTATCTTTGTCCTTGATTTTATAATCTAAAATATAAATCCCTTTATTTAAATATCTCAATCTTTGAATTTATAATCCACAAGATACATCCCTTTATTTAACTATCTTAATCCTTGATTTTATATTCTACGATCTTAACCCCATGATTTAACTATCATTATCCTTGATTTTATAATTTACAATATACATCCCTTTATTTAACTATCTTAATCCTTGATTTTATAATCTCAGATCTTAACCCTATAATTTAACAATCTAATCTTCAATATACATCCATTGATTTAACTATCTTAATCTTTGATTTTATAATCTACGATCCCCCATGATTTAACCATCTTTATCCTTGATACTATCTTAATCCTTGATTTTATAATCTGTGATCTTAACCCCTTGATTTAACTATCTATTTCCATATTTATTTATCCTTGAAAGAAAATTAAACTTTGCGTGCCGAGGCCAATTTATTTTTTCCCAGGGTAAAAGTACTCTGGAAAATTTCCTGAGGGAGTCGTTGTTAAAGAATACGCCTTAGAACAACCAAACCAAACCAAACAAAACTAGAACAACCAAACCAAACCAAACCAAACCAAACCTAACCTAACAAAACTTAAATGTGTTGCTTACAAAAATTAAATTTATCCTGCAAGTCTGCAATACATAAGTTTCTTCCACGATTCACAACGCTTAACTGTGAAACAATAGCAAAGAAAATAGCATTTTTTTGTGTAATTTTCTTTCTAAGTATTGCTGTTGAAAGTAGAAATTCATGACTACTTTTTTTCAATCATAAAAATTAAGAAACAAAATTGGATCATAATGAGCCCCTTTAAAATAAGGCACAGTTCTAATTAGATCCTTGAAGGTTGAGTTTAACTATTCTGAAGATATGGTTGGACTGGAGCTAATTGCAGAAAACTACTTGATCCAACTAGATAATTAATTGTTTGTCTGTTTAATGAAAGTCTAAACTTAATCTTCCATCCTCCTCTATCCCTTCGTTCATTATTCATTTGCTTTCCACAAACTTTCCGTCAGTTTATGTCAAGCTTTATATTTGAAAAATAAATATAATTTCTTTTCTGAGATTAACAAAAAGAAAAGAGAAGAAAATTTGATAAGTTAAGATCAAAATTGGATCTTTGAGAAATGAAATTCCGATTTATGTTCTATGTTACTCAATAAAAAATAAAAATAAAACGAATTTCAAACACAAAGAATTCATCATTTTTAATGTTATGTCAACGTATTTTCAAATTTGAAGGGATCCTTCAATTTTTGTATTACTTGCATGCACTAAACTGCGAAACTAAATGACGTTTGGATTTTACCATAATTAACTTCTTTAGTAATCGGTAAAAAGCTAATTTTTATTGAAGGTTCATATTTGAATATTTAAAACCTTTATTTTGGCTAGAACAAATATCTCATAACGATCTTTTGGGCGTTCTTTTGGTATTTATTTGTAAAGCTTGTTTATTAATTAAGCTTTATATTATAAACATCTTTCTTAAAATTTCTATCCAGGAATTTCCTTTCCCACAGTTCCCACTTTTTAATTATCAAATCAAATGAGTAATTTCTTTTCTAAACTTCTTATAAACTTTTAATTAGTTGCTGAGGAAACATGCCGATAAAAAGTCAAAAGTTTTTGAAATATAAAAGACGACATTGTCCCTTGAGCTGTAGGCTCCGTAGAGAGTGAGTTGCGGAACGCTGCGCGAGTACATCGGGAAACTGTGGGTATCTGATAGTATTCAATTCTAACTTTAACTCATTTCATTATCAACTTTGATTATATGAATCTGAACTATTGTTCTGTCCATATTTCAAGTTATAATTGAATGTATTCCTGTGATATGCCAGTGGAACACGTTGAGCTTGTCATAAGACATCCCAGAGATAATCTTCATGAGGGTGCTCTTCTTGATATAGTTCCTGGAGGTGTCTACCAGCAAACCACGGTGGCGGAAAGATGGCTTATCCTCAACCTGTTAATTAAATATAATATTAAGATTTAAAAAGTGTGAAATGAAAAAGTATAAAATCTGAAAAGAGTAATTTATTATCACAATTTCAAAATATTCCCATGAGGTCGCATCAATTGGTATACATGTTAGCCTTACATCTTGGGAATGATGAAGCAAGTTCAAGAATAAAATTCATTTAAAAAAAATATGTTCTTCTTACCATTGCTGAAGAGTAGATCTGAAGAGTTTCTGTGTTATCATCAAAACTGATCATTTGAGAAAGCGTTTCTAATCCATGACGTGCTCCGTAGTAGGTTTTACCCTTTACACTAAAAAAGTTGTGTCAACGTAACTTCAAATTTAAAGGGATCCTTCAACCAGAAGGTTGTGTCAACGTAGTTTCAAATTTAAAGGGATCCTTCAACCAGAAGTGGTAATATCAGTTCACAACGTTACTTATAAACCATTGCGATGGCTGAGCAAAAAAATTGGGACATCTACGGAAGAAAAAAATCTACAAAAAAAAACTTTAAAACGCTTGATTTTAAAAATGTATCTAAATGCATGTGTAAAATGTACAAATGTATCTAAGTGCATGTGTAAGATTAAAAAATGTATCTAAGTGCATGTGTAAAATGTAAAAATGCATCTAAGTGCATGTGTAAAATATAAACATGTATCTAAGTACATGAGTAAAATATAAAAATGTATCTAAGTGCATGTGTAAAATATANAACTGAATATACTCCTGTTTATGTATCTAAGTGCATGTGTAAAATGTAAAATGTATCTAAGTGCATGTGCAAAATATAAAATGTATCTAAGTGCATTTGCAAAATGTAAAAATGTATCTAAGTGCATGTGAAAAATGTAAAAATGTATCTAAGTGCATGTGCAAAATGTAAAAATGTATCTAAGTGCATGTGTAAACTGTAAATATAGCTTAATGTAAAGTAATGTGGTCCGATATTTGCTTTGGGTCTAAGTAGTGTGGAATGGACAATGTTACCACAATAATTATTTATATATTGGGTTTCCTTAGTTTTCTTTCTTTTACATTATTCAAGACATATTGTCTACATTCTTCACTTTCTACATACAACTTTTTATTTTATCAGGTATCAGACAAAGATATATCCAGAGTGCTTCACGCCACTCTTTGTAATTTACCGCCGGCCTATGGCAATTTTTATTTAAAATTTTCAATTTACAATTTCAGCTTTTAAATGCAACTATTTGAGCTTACATTTTTTCTGAGAACATCACAAAACAAAACTTTTTAGGGATTTTTGGAAAATTTACATTTTTCTTTGCAAAAGTTTTTAGAATTCGACGGCCATAAACTTGCTCTCGGTTCATGGGAAATACCACGAAAAACTGGATTTGGTTGGTTTTGACGTTTTGACATTTAGAACAAACAAGCAGAATTAATATAGAAGACAAGATGATAGACATTACTTACAAAACTGGTTTCCAATGTAGAAAGTTAAAGAATCAAGAAATCAGATTAGAAAAAGTGAAATCTTAAAACAGGATTTTAATACTTTTTTTTGTATAGGTTATAACACGGAGTACACATACAAGGAAATATTCTAAGAGATAGACGAAATGAGTTTTTGAAACAAACTATTTCATACTACGAATTCTACTAGATCAAATAATCTAAGTTTGAAATATCCAAGGTTTACACCATTAGGTTGCAATGATATAGGGATTAGAAAATTTGACAAAGTGGCAAACTCGATTCCATTAAGTACGTTTATACAACTATTAAAAAACTGAACTTAACTTTACGTGATATTTAATTTTAAAATATGCTAAAAATAAACAGATTCCTAAAAATATTGTGCCTTTTAAGACCAATGGGAGGATTGTTTCGTTTAAATTCCTACCTAGTAAAGAAAAGCAGCTACACATATTCAAATATTCACCTCACAATTAGAGATTCCATATCTCTCTTCCCAGTTACACGTTTTATCTCTACAGAATAGCTCTCATCAGTCTCAGTTGTAAAACTTACATCTGCAGATTCTACTTCTACTGTAACCTAAACAGTTTAATCTGAAACCTAAACAGTTTAATCTGTAACCTAAACAGATTCATCTGTAACATAAACAGTTTAATCTGTAACATAAACAGTTTAATCTGTCATCTCAAAAGTTTAATCTGTCACCTAAACAGTTTAATCTGTAACCTAAACAGTTTAATCTGTAACATAGACAGTTTAAACTTTGACCTAAACAGTTTAATCTGTAACCTAAACAGTTTAATCTGTAACCTAAACAGTTTAATCTGTAACCTAAACAGTTTAATCTGTAACTTAAACAGTTTAATCTGTAACCTAAACAGTTAAATCTGTAACCTAAACAGTTTAATCTGTAATCTAAACAGTTTAATCTGTAATCTAAACAGTTTAATCTGTCACCTAAACAGTCTAATCTGTCACCTAAACAGTCTAATCTGTCACCTAAACAGTTTAATCTGTAATCAAACAGTTTAATCTGTAACCAAAACAGTTTAATATGTAACCTAAACAGTTAAATCTGTAACCTAAACAGTTTAATCAGTAATCTAAACAGTTTAATCTGTAACCTAAACAGTTTAATCTGTAACCTAAACAGTTTAATCTGTAACCTAAACTATATAATCTGTAATCTAATCATGCAAATCTTTAAGTTTCTATCCTAACTTTAAAATCCAAAAATTTCTAACCTTAGCCTAAAAATTAATAAACTTCTATGCTAAACCTGAAAATGTATAAATTTCTAACCTAGACCTGTAATTCTATGGATTTCTAACCTAAACCTGAAAATGTATGAATTTCTAACCTAAACCTGTAATTCTATGGATCTCTAATCTAAACCTGAAAATGTATGAATTTCTAACCTAAACCTGTAATTCTATGGATTTCTAACCTAAACCTGAAAATGCATGATTTTCTATGCTATATATAAAAATGTATGATTTTCTATGCTAAATTCTGTAAATGTTTTACTCTAAGTCTGTAATACTGTGAATTTCTAAGCTAAACCTGTAAATCTATGAATATAATTTAAACCTGTAAATCTACGAACAACCCTACTAGAGAGTGGAGATTAATAGATTATGTAGATTGATTATTGTAAACATAAATAATTCATTTATTTACTGAAGTAATTATAGGATTATTTTTAATTATCATCTATATTTATTTACAATACACACAGGGTGTCTCAATAACCATGCTAGGTAGATACAGAACTTTTGTATTCTTGAAATATGTCTCAGTATTCATTCATGTCTAATTTTACAAATTCTTAAATCAATCATCTTAGAATACATTTTATTGCATTTCAAAAATGTTTTAATGCTTTCATAATTACCGTTCAGATTTCCCTTTTTTTTAAAGAAACCAAATTTTAATATTTTTAGGACGTTTTATACTTGTCTTGTTTAGTGGTACACCCTGGACTTCCTGTTACTAATCTACAGTAATCTCAACTATACTAGCTGAATATACTACTGGATATTGGATACAGGTTGGAAACTAGCTGAATATACTCCTGGATATTGGATACAGATTGGAAAGCCAGCTGAATATACTACTGGATATTGGATACAGATTGGAAAACCAGCTGAATATACTCCTGGATGTTGGATATAGGTTGAAAACTAGCTGAATATACTCCTGGATGTTGGATAAAGGTTGGAAAACTAGCTGAATATACTCCTGGATATTGGATACAGATTGGAAAACCAGCTGAATATACTCCTGGAAATTGGATACAGGTCGAAAAACCAGCTGAATATAGTCCTGGATATTGGATACAGGTTGGAAAACCAGCTGAGTATACTCCTGTATATTGGATACCGGTTAGAAAACCAACTGAATATACTCCTGTATATTGGATACTGGTTAAAAAACCAACTGAATATACTCCTGTTTATTGGATACTGGTTAGAAAACCAACTGAATATACTCCTGTATATTGGATACTGGTTAAAAAAAAAACTGAATATACTCCTGTATATTGGATACTGGTTAATAAAAAACCAACTGAATATACTCCTGTTTATTGGATACTGGTTAGAAAACCAACTGAATATACTCCTGTTTATTGGATACCGGTTGGAAAACCAGCTGAATATACTCCTGGATATTGGATACAAATTGGAAAGCCAGCTGAATATACACCTGTATATTGGATACTGGTTAGAAAACCAACTGAATATACTACTGTTTATTGGATACCGGTTAGAAAACCAGCTGAATATACTCCTGGATATTGGAAACCCAGCTGAATATACTCCATGGATATTGGATACAGATTGGAAAACCAGCTGAATATACTCCTGTATATTGGATACTGGTTAGAAAACAATACCTATCTCGGTCAGTAAATAAACATTATACAATATACAATACCTAGAACCAATATGATGATAAATAGAGAGAGACAGTTCTGAATAATAAGATAAGGAGCAAAATATATGCATGGAAATAACCAGGTGGACTAACGATGGAGGGACAGGCCAAAAATAGTGGACTTTCCACAAGAAAAGGCTAAACAAAGAGATAAGAATACAAAAGCACAACTGGAGATGGGTACATCCTTGATTTATGGAACAAAATCTGTCATGTTTCGATTTCTCATTCAAAATCCGTCAAAAAAGGTTTTAATATATATCTAGTTTATGGTGACTATATATTCAAGTGATCCTGCAACCGTAGAGTCCGATTCACAACAGTACCCTTAAAACCTTTGACTGAACAAGGATGTCGGACTGTCCTTATATAAATTTACAGAAACGCGTTAAATTGTTGTACACTTTGTTTTTAAACTGTTAATTGTTTTAAGCACAAAAAATATTAATTTATTTACGTTGTAGGGTTCGCAGAAATGAATATACATTCAAATTTTTGAAAACCGTTCTGGGCATAAAAATATTCTGGATTTTCGAGGATTATTTGGAATGGCAGCTGTGCTGAATTTACACTGTACTCTAGCTTTTACTGCTGTTTTACAGCAATTTTAACGCCATTTTAGAGATAACCCTCGTTTTCAATCAAAGGTTTAAAAGGTACCATTGTAAATCGGACATTTCCCTCTGTACGTGGAGTGTCACTTAAAAGTATACTTTCAGTTCTATTAACATACTGTTAAAAGTAAAAAAGTAAAAATTCAACAAAAAAAGAAAAAAATTAATAAAAAAATCTTTTATAAATGGATAAAAAGGGTTCTAAAGTTAAAACTCCTGACTTTTAAGCCATGACCTATAATTTACGGTGCTTTCAATAGACGTGAAAACAAAAAGAGAATGATAGAAAGAGGTGAAAATAAGAGTGAGAAAAGAAATGGTTTCAGGATGATAATAAGTAAATACGGATAGAAGTAACCAGCAGGGGAAAAAAGGGAAGAAAAAAATGAATTTATGAAATAAAAAAAATGTAAAATGTTGTATTGGAACTGATAACTCGCCACAAACTCTGATTAAATAATTTTTATATCTTTAAAACCAATTTGATGTTAAAACTATGATTTCTGCTAGATCAAACAAAGTTTTAAATGATATAGTAATTCGCAAATGCAAGTAATTTTTACCTTAATCTCTGAGTTGGATAAGAATGGCTTGCTGGAGAAGGGGTTGATAAAGTTGCCAGCGTACTCCGGGCTCTTCATGAACAGGTACTCCTTGAACACTTCGCTGAACTTGTTCACCATGTTGGAGACTGCCTCACTGTTACTGGAGTTGGAGACAAATGTGAGATCTTCAGGTAGAAAATTAATCAGCTGTTTGGAGTGAACCATGCTGACCGGTCTAGGCCAAACCATACCAAACTCTCCGCAGGTCATCTTGCAGGCATTCAATCCTTAATACACAAATGTAACTAAAAAATTATACATGCAGTGTACTCTGATCTTTAAGGGATGTTCTAGATAAAAATGAATCAATACCATCACCCCCCTCTCCCCCCTCCTTAAGATGTCAACGATTATTTTTCTCCATATTTTTGTTTTGGGGTAAATAAATGATTTTGTGATGAATATTAATGACTTTTTAGAATAAACATAACAATTCTTGCCCCCCCCCCGCCCCCATAAACTGCATGGAAATTATGAATTATGAAAAATGTAAACCCCCCATGCATAAAATATTTATAGACCATCAAGTAAACTGTCCCATTAATGAAGGTTTTAAATATTTAACATAAAATTGTGATTTATTGACAGAATTGATTTACGCTAATGGTATATGCACTGATCAATGATCAGTGACTATAATATTTATCAACTACTGTATGAAATAAATAAACAGGGTGTCTCACAGTGGTTCAGTAAAAATATAATAAAATTAATATTATCTACAAATATGGAAAACTATTAAGTTTGTTTGGTAAAAATTTTGAAAAACAAAATATAGATTATTTTAATGTCATTTGATTTAATTGAGACAATCTTTATACGTTTCTTTTTTATAGAGCAATATCAAGTTATAGAGCAGGTTTTTTTATAGAGCAATATCAAGTTATAGAGCAGGGTTTTTATAGAGCAATATCACGTTATAGAGCAGGTTTTTTATAGACCAATATCAAGTTATAGAGCAGGATTTTTATAGACCAATATCAAGTTATAGAGCAGGTTTTTTATAGAGCAATATCACGTTATAGAGCAGGTTTTTTATAGACCAATATCACGTTACTGAGCAGGTTTTTTATAGACCAATATCAAGTTATAGAGCAGGTTTTTTATAGAGCAATATCATGTTATAGAGCATGTTTTTTATAGAGCAATATCAAGTTATAGAGTAGGTTTTTTATAGAGCAATATCAAGTTATAGAGCAGGTTTTTTATAGACCAATATCAAGTTATAGAGCAGGTTTTTTTATAGACCAATATCATGTTATTGAGCAGGTTTTTTTTAGACCAATATCACGTTATTGAGCAGGTTTTTTTAAAGAGCAATATCAAGTTGTTGAGCAGGTTTTTTATAGAGCAATATCAAGTTATAGAGCAGGTTTTTTTATAGAGCAATATCAAGTTATAGAGTAGGTTTTTTTATAGAGCAATATCAAGTTATAGAGCAGGTTTTTTATAGAGCAATATCAAGTTATAGAGCAGGTTTTTTATAGAGCAATATCACGTTATTGAGCAGGCTTTTTATAGACCAATATCTAGTTATTGAGCAGGGTTTTTATAGAGCAATATCACGTTATAGAGCAGGTTTTTTATATACAATTATTTGACAATTATTTATTTACCTCCGATTAAAAACCTAAAGAAATGCACAGCAATTGGGGAAAACATTAATTTTCAAAAAGGAAATGATTTTATAAGAAAATATCCATCCCTTTGCTCATAAAATCTAAAGAACGGTTAAAAAGAAACTAAATTTTTTTTACAAAAATCGTTTATTTGGCAAAACAATTTTATTTATTTATTTCTATTCCTGTGCTTATAAAACGTCAGGGACGTTGAAGAGAAACTAAATAATTTGTCCTTAAGTGGTTTCTTTCGCAATATTTTTTGATCGCATTAAACTAGATATCGATATCCTGAAATAGAAAAAAAACAATTTATTGTTTTTACTTTATTATATTTAGCTTACAAGAGGTTTACATTATTAATATAAACCCTTTCGCTAATAACATGATGATGGGTCACTTAAAGGATTACTTGCTACAAACACTTGCTTTGTAATCATTAAATCCTTGCAACCTGAAACCTTTGATATTTCAATCCTGGACTATTTAGTGTAACAGAATTCATAGTTTCACGGATCTGGTTGTAAAGATAGTAGAACTGAGAAAATTAAAAATTGATTTAAATCGAATAAACATTCCAAAGGACAGTAACAAAATATGTATATACAAAATACATTTAACTATTTTCTGTACAATAACCAATTATAATTAATTATAGAATAATTGAAAAGATAATAATTGCCACTGAATGCAACCATTCATAATTATTAGGTTTTTGAACACAACCAAACACAATTCTTGATTGAATGAACACAACCAATCACAATTCTTGATTATATGAACACAAGCAATCATAATTATTGATTATATGAACACACCCCATCACAATTCTTGATTATATAAACACAACCAATCAAAATTCTTAATTATATTAACAGAACCAATCACAATTCTTGATTATATGAACACAACCAATCACGATTCTTGATTATATGAACACAACCAATCACGATTCTAGATTATATGGACACAACCAATCATAAAACTTGGTTTGTGGAACACAACCAATCATATACTTTGGATTATTGAACACAACCAATTGTATACTAGTGAACACAACCAAACACAATTCTTGATTTATTGAACAGAACCCATTACAATTCTTGAGTAAATGAACACAACCATTCACATAAACTTGGTTTAGTCAATACAACCAGTAAAAACCAACACTAGGAATGTTTGGACTGTGCATATACAGAAGATTTCTTAATATTTCTGAAGCAACCTGTATTGCACCCATGGCTTAGACTAGACAGTATTTTATACACCTGCCTACTGTCCAGTCAGGGATAAAAATTCTTCTCAAGAACAGTAAAGTGTATCCATGGTACAGGAAAAATTATGTTATGTAGAGATTTTTCCTGTACATATAGTATTCCTTTTGAAGTAAAGGTTCATTTGAGTTACTATAAGGTTTCTAGTCCTGGCTCACAACAAAGTAACCCGTATAGTTCCAAACATTAGGTCTAAGAGTTGATAAATTATCTTAATTGACTATGATTATTAAACAAATAACTATTGAGTCTATTGACATATTTAAACAACAAATTGTCAATTAGTTTATTTACTGTCTTAATCTTTTTATTTTGATTGTTTCTAGTTCAATTTATCAACATATGATTTTATATAGAACGTTCCGGAGGCTGAATATGTGAATAAGAGTTTTTGTGAATAAATGATGATATAAAAATAAGTTTTATATACAGTGAGCCTTTTGAAGATTTGCCAACTTCAACAATCTATTTGCATTTACCCTTATTTGGAGGAATCCACCATGTTTGTTTTGTTTTATATCTTGGACCTTTCAGAGTTAGTAATAAATTCTATAAATCAAATATTTACCAACTTTGTCCTCAGGTCCCTCACCCTCCATCTTCACACATCTAAACAGAATTTTTTAGGATTCATTTGAGACATATGGCACGTGTTAATGATGTAAAATTACTGTGTTTGAGTACAAAGTCAATTTTCAAAATCATCCATTTGGCTAATTACGTTTTGAGAATCGTTTTTTTTAATTATTAAATAACGATGACACAAAAAGTATCAAATATTCGAGAGTTCATTAATTAGAAGTTAAGGAACAAATTTAAATATGTCAATAAATCAATGTTAAATTCAATAATCTTTTTTCATCATTTAATGAATTTCTTTGTCTTTACGAATTTATTCCCAGCTTTCTAGAAATTCTTCAAATCTCGTCTTTCAATACAAATTTTAGAAACTCTACAGAAAATGTTTGTGAACTAAGAGAGATTACAGAAACTAATAATTGAATAAGATTATTTATTTTCGATGAAAAAAGTTAATCTTTTAATTTCACAACCTGTTCCTCAACAACTAATTAGTTTACTGTAGAATTTGTGTTACAGTTTTTGTCGTCGTTCTTTAATAACTTTTAAAAAATCGATTCTCAAAACGTAACCACCCAAATGGATGATTTACAAGTCGACTTCGCGCTCAAACTAAGTTATTATACATCATTAAAATGTTTCATTTATCTCAAATAAATCTAAACAAATTTGTCCACAATACTACATTCTCAGTTCAACTAACATACATTGCCAGTCACTCCCTTTAATGAGGAGGTTTTAAAAGCTAATTAATTGTTTGACATATTAAAGCTCAACGACATCGGGTTGCAAAGATATAGTAATCAAAGTTGTGTTATAGAAAACAAACGGAAATGCAAGGAAAAACTTAAAAGATTGCTTTTTAATTTTCTTTCTTTAGTTTGATTAGAACCGAAATAAATAAAAGTTTTGAAGGAAAAGAATGATTAATTAATAACTTTAAGATGGAAAGTTGCCAACCACGATTTTTTTAAATCTACATTTCTAAGAAATCGAAAAATTAAAATAAATTTAAAGTTAAAATATAATGTGCGTGTTTAAAAAAATCGAAACGAAGTTTTGCTTTCGATTCAGTTTCCAAGTTTTCCCTAATTTATGAACGAAAAACAACCCTTTCAATAAACTTTTCCAAACCGACGATACTCTATAAATATCAATGTGTTATCTAATAAAAAAGTAAGATATCTATATAATAAAGCTCTTCGCTCAAATACATTTGGTTGTAAAGATGTATTTATATAAGTCAGCTTTAGCTGTCCAATTACGGCTAGACCGAAGGGGCTGAATTTTTTTTGATGGAACCCTTAAGTATCCCTGGAGTGACATAGAATAAACAAAATTCGATTTTTTTTCTGTTTCAAATGGAAATGAATTTTTTTTCGATCGAACTTTTTTTAAAGTAAAAATTCCAATTTTTTTTCTTCACAATATGATTTTTAAATTCCACGGGCAACGGCGGGCACTTTAGCAGTGATCAAATATATTCGACTTCTGGAGAGAATTGTCAGAAAAACTTTTCATATTTTTAGATATTTCATTTCTAAGCTGAAAAGAACACTATTCTTGACAATCTATCTTTAACTTTAATCATTTATCATGGAAACATTTTGATTCATTAGCTGAGGGGGGAGAAAGAGGGGGAAGAGTGGGGAAATGGAGGGGGGGGGGTGGACAGTGGTTCCCCCTTTTAAAACTCGTTTTAGACTCCCTTGAATTGTGTTATTTTCTTGAAAAGCATATTTTAAAACTTTCTTGTTTTTAAATGTTTCATCAAGTTTTTGTATAAAAGTTTTAAAAGTAAATATTAATGAAATGTTCCTTTTTTACAGGTCGGATCCGCATCAAGATAAAATGAATTCTAAGCACTGTTTTCTCCCTTTAAGGACCCCCCCCCCCCCTTTATCTATTGGACACTTCATTTTATTTAAAGCCAAAAATATGGCATACTTTTTTAATTTCAAAACATCACGCCATGGAACTAATCACTTGCCACTGACCTGTGTTTAAACCTTTCATATTTCAAAAAACTTTCCCTTTTTGATCTATAGCAGAAACCATAGTTTAAAATACAAAAGTTGCAAATATAAAGACTAGAAAATTTAAGCTTGGGGCAATGTTGAGTTCTTTTAGCAATTTGTTCAACTAAAACATATAATTTCCAAATAAATAAACTGCATATGTTTTACGCCCTTTTAATAATATGTTTACCCAAATTACGCAGTTATTTAAGTTATTTAAGTGAATGTTTTGACAAGATTTAGTTAAAAGTGAAAAAGATAAGAGTATTTGCTTTCAAAGAATAGAATAATCAACATTGGCTGACAAGTCTATTAAAATTATTTATTCTAATTTAGCTGAAGTGCTTGGTGTTGCCTTTACAAAAAAATCAAAATTTCAAATAAGTAATGAACAAAATTGTTTAGCCTAATTGGTACATATGGGTTTCCTTAAACGATTATAGACAATTTTGTCCTGCCGTTTGGCCAGCTTTAGCTAACATAAATTCTGTAAATACAAAGATAAGGAAAGGGACTAATAAACAACTCAATGCATTGACGAGTCAAAATGAAGAATAGAAAAATGGAAAGGCATTAAAACTTGTTTAAAGAATTTTTAAAGAAGTATCTTTTTTTATGATATGCATTCAGAAAAATCTTTTCAATGTTCAAAACACAAAGATATTTGAAGGGAAAAAATAAAACATCTACTTTTTTAAATTGCCCTAAGAAATTTTAAAGAATTTCAAAGAAGAAGATGACAAAGTTGTATAATAAGGTTGAATAATACTCTCGACGCTTTAATTTACGGGAGATGTCGTCTCCTTGGCATAGAAAAATAAAAGGAAGACGACATTTACCGTACATATTGAAGACGACATATTGAAGCGTACCGAGAGTAAGCAACCTTATTATACAACCTTGTGATTCACATTAAGAAATAGAAAGAAAAAATTTAAGCTTGAAAATAATTTTTCTTGCCAAACATATTAATATCTCCAAAATTGCCTGACCCCATTCGTGAGACCTGGTTTCCGATACTGGGATTCATAGCGATACCCTGGCTCAAGTTTTGAGCTCTGGCCTCCTATTATGGATAAGTATAAACGAACTTCACCTTGCAGGTATAGGATGACCTCCAGGGTTTGAGTTATTATCACAGGTATAGCTCCAGGGGGAGGGAAGATCATAGCTTAGAACTTCTCCATGTACTCCAGCCAACCCTACCAGGAATAGAACCAACATTCTCATCACTAGAAATATTTAGTATTTGATGTACTGCAACTGCAAGAGCTACTAACAGTTGAAAAGTTGAACTGGCCATAGCTGGTTCAACTTCTTCTCTTAAGCCACCAAGACTAACATAGAGAGATATTTAACTTGATCTAGATAGCAAGAAGCAAAGAAGTGAAACCATTTGCAAATTTAAAAAGCATATACAACATTCCTGTAGGATCCTTTGAGGAATTAATAAGAAATTATGCTATTATCTGCGGATTATTGAAATGAGGCAAAAAGGATTTTGTTATCCTCAAGAGAGAAGAAAAGCCCCTGCAGCCCCCGGCACCTTAAATACGCCTTTGATGGTTGGAATTGGCTTGATAATTTGATAAAGAATTTGACTGAATGAGTTTCTTTTGAAATTCTTTTGTAAAGTGCATTGTGTGTAATTCTTATTTTTATTTGTTTTATTTTAAACATTTACACTAAATTCACTTTCAGTAAACATCTCGGTTTTATTGCAGTACTATATCATAGAAATGTTCAAATCCATACAAAATAGATATACATGTTGAATAATAAATGTCCAATTTCTTAGACGCTCTACCATAGGTAGAACCATAGTCACACTATGGTTACGCTTTACCAGAGCAGAATAGATAGATAGATACGACCTATAGTTGTACCTAATACCTACGGTTAAATGAATAAGAAATTGGCCAAAACTTAATTATATTTAAAATATGGTATTTTTCGATTCACAACGATACTCTTTAAACCTCGGTGCCAATCGTCGTTTTGAAAATATTTAAATCTACAAATTGTCTCTACACAGTATAAACCTGCAAGTCACTTGTACAGCAAAACTACAAAGGAAAAAATCAATATTTCAGCAAGATAAAATATGGATATCTCATTCATTCAGACTCAGGTACTGTGTAGTTCAGATGGTAAAATAAAGTTAAATCAAGGAATATAATAGCGTAGGAACTACCATAGCCCATGAGATAATGTGTACTGTATTTTCTGGGAACAATGTAGATTGGCCAGCACTACAGGCCTATGAAGTATGAATTCACATTCTTCACAGAAACTGACACTTTTTTATAGGTCCTGTTTTGGCTGAACTATTTACGCTTTTAATTGTACTTGATAACCTTAAAAATATTTTTACTTGATAACCTTTACAAATTGCATTCGGCGCGCTCCACATTGCGAAGTGATGGGAGGGGAGGCGATCAAGAAATAAACCAAAGCTTTGGTAACAAATAAAGTAAGTGTATTGCAGTAAATGTTAATACACATTAAAAAAGCCCTGAAGAGTACTGCACGCATAGTTGTTAACAAAGTTATAATGCAAGGAAAGTTATTTCAGAGGTGTAAGCATCTTTTGTACTGCATTGTGCAGTCTCTGGGCGGTAATGTAAACACAAGACGGATGTCACAGCCTGACATGGAATCCATCTTTCTCATACAAAATCAGGGAATTATTCTGTTCATAGGAAACTATTATGTGAATTATCAAAATTGTCAAAATTATATGCTTTTATCCTCCTCGGATACTCCTTGGTTGTCAACATTATAAGATCAAAACTGCAGTACACTTTAAAATTGTAAACAAAGCTATAAAATCGTATACTAGGACAGAGCCCGCTTATGTTTCTTATGCACAAAATCAACGTATGTAAAGCATTCACCAACTCTCTTAAGTAAAAAAACTGTGTAATTTGTGTGTTTAACGTTTACCTTGTGTATCACCAACGGGTGCCGGTGGTGAAACTAAACTGAACTAAATGCAGTCTGCAAAGACCGGTCTCCAGGTTTTCCTTTATTACAAAGGAATACGAGTACAGGGTTTCATTCTAATATATGCACCACAAACAGACCAAAGAAACAACAGAACCGGTATATATTTGTTGACATTAATATTGTACTGCAATTTCTGTGGGGAATATCCTATTTTGTAAACAAAGAGATCCATGGACCTTTTCGACTCTTTGTACGACGTACGTATATCTTTCTAGACACAGACCAAAGAAACTAATCTTTCATAAAATAATGTGTACTTATAGCAAGGTTAAGATGCAAGGAAAGTTATTTCAGAGGTGTAAGCATCTTTTGTACTGCATTGTGCAGTCTCTGGGCGGTAATGTAAACACAAGACGGATGTCACAGCCTGACATGGGATCCATCTTTCTCATACAAAATCAGGGAATTATTCTGTTCATAGGAAACTATTATGTGAATTATCAAAATTGTCAAAATTATATGCTTTTATCCTCCTCGGATACTCCTTGGTTGTCAACATTATAAGATCAAAACTGCAGTACACTTTAAAATTGTAAACAAAGCTACGGGAGTTCCTCAGTTCCTGGTATTATTATTGAGCAAAAGGGGAGTCCCTTTACGCTTATGGGTATATTCCTAGTTTACGATTTTTGGACCCCCCC